CTTCCCTGGCAACGGCGCCAGAAATGCTTGTTGGTATTTTCTTAACGACATTACTAGAAATATAATTCCCAGCAATGGCGCAGAAATACCCATGGAATATTATGGTTACAGAGTTTATCCGCAAGCGCACGAATATACCATTGTAGCATTTCACCGAGAGTATTCTAAGGATATCGTATTTATTTTATCCCGTGGGAAGATCATGTAGAGAGAACTAGACTAATAATTTATATATTACTTGTGATAATCATATTCTAAGCAAGGGTTAAGATAATCCAAGGGTATAGTGACACACAAGTATTAGCTACTCATTCTCATAATATATTATCTAAGCTAAGTGGGAAGAAAAGAGAAAGAAAATATATTCCTATACTTCTAATATACATAGTATACATACATTCCAGTTATCCGATATACTAGGTAATACCCTCTATCCGATGCCCTCCTGGTACTTCGAGAAGCCACCCCTGACTACCGAGTTCCTTACGACAGTCCGTCATGACCATACAACCGGGGCTAAATACGGAGGAATGCCCTCCCTAGGGAATTAACTTAGGATTATATACAGGCACGGAGGAATACCCGTACTATGCTGTCACCATCAGCGGCCCACCTCTCATCCGTAGCATATAACCCCAAATAATGATATCCCATAATCTAGACATCACGCCTAAACTACCAGATACTACTCTAATATCATCGTCATGACATAGAGTAATTGCATATGCAAACATTATACCCGCACCAAAGCATCTCCCAGATAAGCTAGCAGTATATTCAGTATAACATGAATATAATGTAAAGTAGGTATTTATATACTCGGAAAGTATTTCAATACCATAAATGTATAAAGAAGAATATTCTAATAATAGTACAAAGCTTACAAAAGAGGAAAGGAAAGCTACTAGAGCCATACCCGAACTCTTCCGAAGGCTTCCGGACTCCTGATTTCTACTCTATTCCTATTCCACTAACTTAAGAACATTAAACTAACTTGAGAGAATATGAGAGAATTCTTGCTTGAGGGGTGTGTGTGTGAAGTGAAGTGAGTGAGCTCCTTTTATAGGCAGGTATGACGGTTGTAATTGCTGTGAAATGTCTGAAGTAACTCGCAACCGCCATCAGGAGAAGATCTGGAGCGTCCCTACCAAACTCCACATCCAACGGTGGAAAGGGAGGTTCGGCCGAACCAGGGGCCGGCCCAACCAGCCCACAATTTGGCTGGTGGCCTCCCGGACTTCTCTTCTCCGCAGTCTTTTGAATTTTGGCCCAGTTGGTTGTGTCATTTCTGAGTTTCTAGCCTATTCATACATAAGTCTGTTCCTCGACATCGTCTGATTAATTTATCGTCTGAGTTGATGTCGATTCTCCTTCACTTTATGATTATTCTTTGCAAAAGGTTAGTAAACCTAATACTAGTGGAATATTATTATTCTAACATATATATATATATATATATATATATATATATATATATATATATATATATATATGCATTGTAAGCATCACTAGTTCTCCTCTATTTTGGTAATATTGACGGTCAAAACTGATCGATAACGACCGTCAACAAACATTAGTATAGATTTTTCAAGAACAAGTAACAAATTTTATCTGTGATTTTTATTCTAATGGATGCAGAGGTGAGAAACTCCCTGTTCAAAGAACCAGTCCTGCATGACACCAATAAGGTTGGTGTGAACTTTAGGAAGCAAAAGCTATTGCAAATGGCAGAATAAAATAATGCCCCAGGAGAGCCAGAAGTGGTGATAGTTGAAGATGCTGAAGTGGTGATTGAGCCTGTGCCAAAAAAGAAGTGCACTGGCAACAAGGGATTCACTATCCCTCCAGGAGTTGAAGTCATTCATATACCCTCCACCCCTCAGGCATAATTATAATACGATAAATTGTCCACATCTCAATAATTTTAGGATATTGCCCCTAATGAATGTGCACCAATATCATAACTAGTGTGAGTGGCCACTTCCATTTCAATAATTTATTGTGCTATGTATCTTCTTCCTTTGAGATATCAATCTAATTTTCTTCCATTTCAAATCTACTTTTCAGCCTAACTTGCAATGATTACTGTAATTCATAACTAAGAGATCAACGCATTGAGCTGTCTTTGCTTCATGTAGATGAAAGATGTTTGATGATTTGTATTTTTTCCAGGGATGATGGCTTGTACTAGTAGTGACTGATACAGACTTTACTAGCTAAATATGTTTTCATCCTCAACCTTAAAGTTTAATGTGTTGTGATAATGATTTTTGACAAGCAAGCTTGGGATGCGTTCGATTCCCCTGATTGGGAACTCATTCCCTCCACATGGAAAACAGAGCGGTCCATTAGTACGTGATTAATTAAGTATTAGCTATTTTTTTAAAAAAAAATAGATCAATCTGATTTTTTAAAATAACTTTCGTATATAAACTTTTTATTAAAAAACACATCGTTTAGTAGTTTGAAAAGCAGCCTTGGTAGTTTTCTTGATAACTTTTGTTGCTACCTGTACCTGTGGTGACCACTGACCAGCCTTCGTGAGGAACTCCCAAGTATTTAAGCTGTTAATGGAAAAAAAAGGCATTATTGAAAATCTATAAGTTTCTTTGATATAACTAATTGTCACTCTACTTAGTTCCGCTGGTTATTTGTGAGTAACAATTGATAGTGCAATGCATATGAGTAAATCATGTGTACATGTATTTCTTTGTGACCTATATTTGCTTCCATATCATAGGCATAGTATGATATGCGCACGAGGCATAAATTACCATTCATAGATGAGAGTTGTGTGCGTGGTTTAGCTTAGGCATGTTCCGGTGGTTGTGTTTTGCTTGCATACTTGAAATTTACTAACTAACGTAACTTAAACAAATTTTGATTGATTATGTATTTTCTTTAATAATGTTGACGTGCCTTACACGTGCATGCTCACTAGTGAAAATAAATATACGAGTTTTCTTTTTTTAAAAAAAAGACAGCAGAATTATAGCAACAGGGACTCTGTACCGCACGGCAGTATTGCTCATCGATCTGCATCAACTCCGGACTCGGACTGTGTCACAATTGCCGTTAGATCATTTGTCTCGGAAGTCGTAACTCCGGGCCTCCGGGCATAAGGCCAGTCACAATGGGGGTTTCACTGGTGTGTCATGCACATTTAATAGGGGTAAGACTGAATAAAAAATGATTATTTGCATGAAATGGGGATGAGAGAGAAGGAAAGAGTTTCATCCTGGTGAAACTCGTCAGCGTCGTTTCCAAGTCCTCGGTAACAGAGTGAAACCCCCGTTGAGGCCGATTCGTTTCATTCACCGGATCTCTTGCGTCCGCCTCCGCCGTGCGACCTCCGCATTCTCCCGCGCCGCGCCGGATTTTGGGTACAAATGATCCCAGCAACTTGTATCAATTAAATGCTTTGCTTAGTCTTGGAAACGTCAAAGTGAAACCCCTCCACTGTGGGGATTGTTTCATAAAAGATTTCATTTGAGAGAAGATGGTATAATATTTTGGGTAGCCGTGCAATGACACTAGCCATTGTGACTGGCCTAATAGCACATGGCACCTACTGTACTGAACGCGTGGTTTATTAAAAAAAAAAAGGAATAGGTGACCATTGACCAGCGACCATGCAGCTACCACAACCACAACCACACCCTCTTGTTAGTATTAAACTGTTGATCTATAAATAAAAACAAAGAAAAATGTAGCTTCTTCGTTGACGCATGTACTATAGCTGTGTTCGGTTTCACGGGATACGAACTAATCCCTCCCGCACATAAAGCGGAGCGATCCATTAATACGTGATTAATTAAGTATGTCCTATTTTAAAAAAAATAAATTAATTTGATTTTTTAAGCAACTTTCGTATAGAATTTTATTTTAAAAAACGCACCGTTTAGCAGTTTGAAAAGCGTGCGTGTAAGAGAGATGGGTTGGGAAAAGAGGGTGCCGAACACACCCTATGGGTAGTTTGGATACATAGACTAAACTTTAGTGTCTGTTTAGATCGCACCCAAAATTTTACATCCTGTCACATGGAACGTTTGAACACTTGCATGAAGTATTAAATATATGCTAGAAAATAACTAATGGCACATATTGCGACTAATTTGCGAAACAAATCTTTTAAGTCTAATTGCTCCATAATTTGACAATGTGATGCTATGGTAAACATGTGCTAACGACGGATTATTTAGGCTTAATAAATTCGTCTCGTGGTTTACTGACAGATTCTATAATTAGTTTTTTCTATTAGTGCACGAACACCCCCATACGACACCCTATATAATACCTGATGTGATACGCCAACACTTTACACCCCTGATCTAAACACCCCTTAGTCCCTGTCACATCAGATGTTTGAACACTAATTTAGAGTATTAAACATAGACTAGTTAAAAAACTAATTACACATATGGAGGCTAATTTGCGAGACGAATCTATTAAGTCTAATTAATCCATGATTATCACATATTTACTGTAGAACTACATTGTCAAATCATGGACTAATTAGTATTAATAGATTTGTCTCGTAAATTAACCTCCATCTATTTAATTAGTTTTATAATTAGTCTATATTTAATACTTATGTTTAGTTCACGCTAAAATTGAAAGTTTGGTTGAAATTAGAACGATGTGACGAAAAAGTTGAAAGTTTGTGTGTAGGAAAATTTTGATGTGATGGAAAAGTTAAAAGTTCGAAGAAAAAGTTCGGAACTAAACTCGGCCTCAAATTAGTGTCAAACTTCTCTTGTATGGCTTTGTTTATAATTCCAAACTTTTTCTTTAAACTTTTAACTTTTTTATCACATCAAAACTTTTTTACACACCTAAACTTCCTACTACTTTTAACCCTGTCAAGTGTCGACTGGACAAGAGAAAACCTACCCCCTACGCCGCTAGCTACACCCGAGCCTATGGCGGCCAAGGAAAAAGGATATACTAGTAGTAGTAATAAAATAGTAGTATTTAAACACTGCAAGCATCTTCACACGGGAAACACGACGAGAACTGGTTCGTTTCGGCCACCATTATTCCACATCATTTCCACGGCCCCTATTGTCCGCTTGCTCTCGCGTCGCTCCCGTCCCGTGCCGTGCGCTGCGGCCGCCATGGGCTCCTCCGACTCCCAGGCGCCGCTGCTGCTCCCGAGGGGGAGCCACCGCAAGGAGGAGGAGGAGGAGGAATACGCGGCGGCGGGGAAGGTGCGGGGCTGCTGCGGCGGCGATGGGGAAGGAGGGTGGTGGCGGGAGGCGACTGCGGAGGCCGGGAGGCTGGCGTCGCTGGCCGCGCCGATGATCGCGGTCGCGCTGCTGCAGCTGATGATGCAGCTCATCTCCACCGTCATGGTGGGGCACCTCGGCGAGGTCGCGCTCGCCGGCGCCGCTATCGCCAACTCCCTCACCAACGTCTCCGGCTTCAGCGTCCTCGTGAGTGCCCTTTTCCCTTCGATCATCTTTTTTTACCCTTCTGTGCGTGAGACCACGCCTTCTAGGGATAGAATGGGATTCACTTCGTGCCCTGTGGCTGTGGCCGTGTGGTGGTTGGCATCTCGCGCAGCCGCCAGCGAGGTGCTTGTGGAAATGCCCCGCACGACAATCCGCCATGTGGTTTTGCACCGCTGGTCAAATACTCGAAACATACTAATCAACGCACCAAAAGTTGGTAGAACGCGAGCTGGATCAGTAATTGCGTACGCGAATCCAAATCCATGTGCTCTTTTCTCAAATGGTCGACTCACCTTCGTTGCACTGATTTGTGTTAATTGCTGTTTTGGGTTTTGATTATTGGAGCTGACTGTTTTCACTTTACGATGCTACTCCTACTTGACTATATGCTATTCTCAGTTCCTCACATATGAGGCTAAGGATTTGGAAGCTTCAGTTCAGGTTCACCGTGCGCATTGGAAAGGCTTTTCTGTCTTTCCAAACATTTCGTCGTTGTATATTGATTATAAGCTAAGCGCCAGCTCTTTGATTTGAGATTGCTTCCATATGCATGTTTCGTCCTTTAGGTTGTGGACCAGTGCTTCATCTTTCGTATAACAATGAAATATAGTACCCGACTACCGTGCCGTGGCCGTGTATGTGCTTAGGGCTCTAGGACACCCTTTACGGAATAATTAATTATTTGCCACTCTTACGGATGGTGATAAAATGTCCCACTCTTTACTGCAGTAATCAAGTTCTTTTTTTTGGTTTTACATTATGTACTTCTGTTTGGCAATGTATTGTCCACAGCTTTGGAATAGTTGCATGCTATAGAAACAGAGTAAAGGATTGCGGACTTTGTAAATAAATGACAAATACACATCTATATTCCTTTAAAAGCCTCTAGTGGTGGCAGTGAATCTGCCCACCCCCACTATTGCTTTTGCAGTTTTTTACAAATTGTCCCCCTGATATTTTCTAATATTGTGGAATAGTCCAACATTCAGTTCAAACAAGTGAATACCAGATAATCATAAAAGCAAACAAGTGATACTAAGATATTTGATAAACAAATATTTTTCTATGACATATTATGATTATTTTTCTTCTGCCCATAGCAAAGCTTGGGCATTTTGCTAGTTATTAATAATATACACAAATTCGAACATTTAGAGAAAATGGATGTCACCTTTAGTTATCTAAATGTACAACAAATTACACTTTTAACTTTTAAAATTTTCTACTCCTTTTGTTCCAAAATATAAGCACTTATGGAGTTTTTCACCGCGATTAAGGAGAGAGAGGTGAAATCAAATGACGGATTGTTGTGATTGGTTGAGATGAGGAGATAGATGGAGAATATTAAATGAGAGATGGCTGTAGTTGGTTGAGATGGGACTAGGTGCATAAGTTACTACATTTTGCGACAAAATTTAAATACCAGAAGTAGCTATATTTTGGGACGGAGGGGGGGGGTTGTTAACAGCCATATCTTGTAAAAGTAGGTCAAAGCACACCTTAAAAGGGGCATAGCCAAGGGTCCCAACCTCTATATAGTGAAGACGAGACAAGCAATGGATTGAACATGGAGTGGACAAGTCACTTGTGTTTATTACTTCAGAAAAAAAAACTTTGTAGAGGTAGCATTACTCTTACATAAGAAGGCTTGAGTGATGTTAGGAGCTCGTCTAGTACAAAGGTTTGAGGCAATTGGACAAGCACTTCTAGGAAGACGATGTGACATGGAAGGATTCAATATTGGTGTTGACAATTGATGGTACTTGTTATGCAGACACCGAGATCCTCCTCCATGTCACAGCCTCACCAGTCACACTGTGTTTCTAGAAGTACTTGCTGAATTTCTTAAGGCTTTGGACTGAAGGAGCTCTGAGCATCGTGATCAGGAGCATCTTCTTCTACATTGGCTACCTCTAATGAGTTTCACCTATTGTAACTGCTGCTGAATATATAAGCACATATTGATTTAATTTATTCCATAAATAAATCATGACATTGCAAATTAAAACTAGCATCATCATATCATACGATCTACACATGTAAACTAGATAGTAGCGAATGCGTACCGAGGGTTCTAGAAGTTCGGCTACACAACATGAAGGACTCGTGGTACTGGGCATTGACGACGGCACGCAGCACCCGAGCGAAGAGGAAGGCGAGCCGTTGTGGATGAATAGCAAGCAGTCGCGTGAAGCGCTTCCCAAAATTCCCGCCTTCTCCCAGTGTAGGACATCAAAGGCGAAGGTTCCGGAGACCTGCTCTCCCGATCGTCGGTGCACACCGACGAGCGGGATGGAGTAGACTACGAGTGACAACGCAGAACTGAGGAGGAGACAAACCCTAGATTGATTTCGCGTGTGTTGCAAGGAGGCGACGGCTCGATTTATATAAAGATATCAGGACACCTGCACGATCTCCACACCACGTAACCGAACCGAATAAGTCGCGCGTAACTCATCCGGAGTCCACTCCTCTCCACGCACCGGATTATTCGGTGTGTTTCCAAAAACAAAACCGAAATTTGCAGCAAAGCAAAATTGCAAAAGGAAGCTGCATCTCGCCTGGCCATGCGAGGCGAGCGAGCGCGCGCGTGTGTTCTTCTAGTTTTCTCCACCACACATGCCTCAAGTGGCTAGGAGAGCAACCTCCCTTGTAAGAAGGTCTCCCTCCTCTAGAATAGGCAAGGTGGTACTAAACTTCCCATGTATGCCATCCCATGAGGTGGGCTTTTGTGATTTTCCGAATAATTAATCTTCATATGGGCCTTAGCCTACATACCAATTCCAACAATTGCCACTAGATGATGAGTTCGGCTACCTCCCATGAGTTTCCTCTGTCATAACCAACATGAATGAAATTTTCGCCACTTTCAATCTGTATTTTTTTTCTCAACTTCATTTTGACCCAATAGATAAATCAAATAGATGCTTTCAAAGTTGAGGGTGTATTTTGGACCTGTGCGACAGTTAGAAGTTCTAAAATGGACTTATTCCTATAAAAGAAAGAGCTCCCTTCTAGCTATTACTATAAATAGACTGCATAGACCCTGAAATCGTTATACATGCCACGCTATATGTCGGCATGCTTTTCACACATAAATATTTTCTCCCAATTCACATGCCATGCAGTACATGGATGATCCGTTTGTACTCTTGCAAATTTAGCCTTCACTATCATTCTAGCTAGACTTTAATGTTATCTCTATGCTTTATCCTGATAGTTTGACTTTTGTTCTTCCTTGAAATATCTATATATTTTATTACTGATGCAGTTTTCCTTTTAGATGGGACTGGCATGTGGGCTGGAAACTATTTGCGGACAGGCTTATGGAGCAGAACAGTATCATAAGCTAGCTTTATATATGTACAGGTCCATAATTGTGCTTCTTGTTGTGAGTGTACCAATCGCCATCATATGGGTTTTCATCCCAGAGGTACTTCCTCTCATAGGTCAGCAACCAGAAATAGCAAGTGAAGTTGGGAAGTATGCATTGTGGCTAATCCCTGGTTTATTTGCCTTCACTGTTGCTCAATGCTTATCAAAGTTCCTCCAGACTCAAAGCCTAATATTTCCTATGGTTCTAAGCTCATCAATAACACTAGCACTCTTCATTCCTTTGTGTTGGTTCATGGTTTATAAAGTTGGGATGGGTAATGCTGGAGCTGCTTTATCAGTCAGTATCTGTGATTGGGTCGAAGTGACTGTTCTTGGTCTTTACATTGTTCTCTCACCTTCTTGTGAAAAAACTCGTGCTCCACTCACATGGGAAGCATTTAGTGGGATTGGAAGTTTCTTGAGGTTGGCTGTACCATCGGCCCTCATGATTTGGTAAGTACATGTTACTCCCCAATTTACAAAAAGATCATTTGAACAATGTAAGGTTTCAAGGATGCCTGAAGATCTTACTTAATTTTGCTATATCTTGGACACTAGAATATTTTCTTGATTACTCTTGTATGATTAATCGTTATCTTTTCCTGCCATTTTGACATTGACATGGTCTGTAGAACACATATTTGAGGCATTGACAATCATTTTGCTCTAATGGAGTATTTGCAAATATTAGGAAACGTGCATTGATATGAACCACTTTTGATTGCAAATATACTAATATCATGTTTATTTTGGCTAGTTTTAATAGTTTTTATCTATATCCATGGTCATATTTTTAAACATTGACCACACATGCTCTTTGATTATTAGGGATGGAATTCCCAGCTAATAGTTACTTCTATTCTCTTATAGAGCTAAATTTCACAACTAGAAGAAATGATGTGCAGTACAAAAAACCTTCAATCTAGTTTGGCATCTTTTCGATATAAACTTGTAAAATCTGTAAAATTTGGTTCGAAATACAATCTTAGACATTTTGTACTTGTGACGGCTTTGTAAAGCTCAAAGCCTTCAACACTACATTAGATTGAATGCTGTGAAACATCATATACATGCTAATGGTTTTGCCAACAAATAAGGAGAGCCTTGTGGAGGAAAGTGGAAAAATGCAATGGAGCCACAATAAACAAAAAGGTGTGCAAAGAAGACCACCCATTCTTTAAGCATGCATGCAAAAGAGGACAAAACAACAATACCTTGAGAATTCTCAACACCTTTTAGGACCTTGAATTTTCCACAATACAGGAATCATTTGGTTATGAAATCTTAGGCTCCTTTTTTGTGACTGCCTTCCTGTTGATATTCTCAATGCTTACAATTTCCCCCAAGGCCAAAATTTTTTCGTTCTATATAGATTAATTACTCCTTGTTCAAGTGTTAGGGATAGATTGTTGATCTTGTTATGCTACTAAGTTTAATACAAGCAGGACTACTACTCCATTGCAAATAATTATCCTTACAATTTTGAAGAGTTTAACAAAAAAAAAACATGTCACCTTTACAGTTGTAAATAGACTTTGTTTCCTCCCTTTCTTTTAGTAATGGTAATATCGTAGATGACATAAAAGGTCAAGTAAACATTAAAGTATCTGTTCACACATATTTACCATGCACGCATGATATGACTCATTTCAATAATGAAGTTTTGTCTGTTTAGCTTTCTCTCCACTTTTAAATTAATACGTGATTTTAGGCTACTGTCTGTTTAGCATGAAAGCAATATTTAGTACGAAGAGGGAAAACTTTGGCCAATGAATGCGTTCCATTGGGACAATCAGGAACAAAATGTGTACAGGAAATGGAGGGCAATTGAAAACATACACATTCATCCATTTAAACTGTAGCGCACATTGCTCAAAATATCACTTGACTCTATGTCTCCTGCCCTCTTATTCTAAATTGGTAGGCCTCTCCATATATAATGTGAAGTTAAATCATGAATTTCTTTTACAGTATAATTAAAAGTAATATTACATATGTTAAGCTTCAAACTGCATAACTTTCTTCCCCAGAATTTAATTTAGCCTCACATGTCAACAGCCTCGAATGGTGGTCTTATGAGCTGCTTGTTCTGCTTTCTGGGATCCTACCAAATCCAGCACTTGAAACTTCTGTGCTTTCTATATGGTATGCATTACATGCAATGAATAATAGATTCTTCCATTTTTCTGTTATAATGTTTAACAAATAAATATATCTGGAACAGCATTTCTACTGTTGTGTTGGTGTACAATCTCCCTCATGGTATTGGAACAGCTGCAAGGTGGGACCACTCATTTTTCATCATGCTTAATTAACATCTTTTTTTGTACCCGTCAGATGTTTAACCTAATACATGTTATATTCATGTGGCAGTGTCCGTGTCTCAAATGAACTAGGTGCAGGGAATCCAGAAGGTGCCCGCTTGGTAGTAGGGGTTGCTTTATCTGTTATACTTTGTTCAGCAGTCCTAGTGAGTGTAACACTTCTAGCGTTGCGTCATTTCATCGGAATTGCTTTCAGCAATGAGGAAGAAGTCATAAATTATGTAACAAGAATGGTACCTGTTCTTTCCATCTCAGTTATTACAGACAGCCTTCAGGGTGTCCTCTCAGGTATCAAATTTACCTCTAAAGGCAAAATTTTATTGCCAGTTTCATCATATAAAGACAGGTTTTGGTTTGAATATTTGTGTTTGTTGTAATTCATATGCATTATCCAAAACCAATATTTCTGTTAGACATAATAATGCAATATGATTGATGGGTGATTGTTAGGAGTGATCAACATTGTCAATCAGTCCATTTGATATCAGTGCTTGTTACTCATAAAAAAAAATTGAACATTAGAGATTCTTTGCAATGCTAATGCAACTGTCTTACTTAATATTTCAATTTTCACCAGGTGTTTCCAGGGGCTGTGGATGGCAGCATCTAGGGGCCTATGTTAACCTAGGTGCATTCTATCTTGTCGGAGTTCCTGTTGCTCTCTTTTTTGGGTTTGCAATGCATCTAGGAGGAATGGGTTTTTGGATGGGCATGGTAGCTGGTGGAGCGACACAGGTCACTCTTCTATCTATCATTACTGCAATGACAAACTGGAGAAAGATGGTAGGTTCCTTTTTTCCATTTCTTCTCCATAAAGTTTTATCAGTACAGGCTGTCTCTAAACCGTAATGCCTCAAAATTTGGATAACAATACTAACAGATTCTTGTGAGTGATTTGGGATATTAGAAACCATGCAGAAAAAGTAAAGTGAGCCTGATACCAAGCTCAATTCAATCCGGTTTGGAATGTTAAACTTTTAATATAGTCTGCAGTCAAATGAAGTAAAAAAAAAAAGCAGTTGCCAGTTGTTACGGTTTTAACATGGTAGTCAGTTTTGGAGGTTTTATGTTGTACCACCATACAAAAGAAGCTTAAGAAATACCCAAAGTGTGTTAACTTTACTTGTGTAAATCTATTTCAAAAGAGTTTAATGTACCAAAATGCACAAAGGGTCCTACTTAGCTAAAAACTACATCGAGGGACATTATCAATGTTTCCTTGTCTTGGTATATTGCAATGGTCTATGAACCAATTTTCCACGTTTCAGTCTACAAAACGAAGTCCTCTTGAAGTCATATACCTGATATATATAAAAAATTGATTTTGTTTTTTATACTATGTTCTGAACGTTTTACATTCTTATCTTTCTGTTGGTTATTTGCTTGCAGGCTGAAAAGGCTAGGGACAGAGTATTTGAGGAAAGGATTCCGACACAGTCAGTCTAACCACATTGACTAAGTTTTGTTGGATTCAATCTTCAAATTTTTCCTGTACGGTACATGTTCTTTTTTTTTTTCTTGAGGATTAGTAACAGAATGGCAAATGAATCCTGTAGCATCTTAGCTCGAAGAGTTAGTCAAGTCCCAGGAAGACTTGAAAGATGTGATGTTACATCTTTTTTACTTCTCTGTAGGAAAGCATATATAATCTTTGTGTTGAACAAGGAGCAAAGTATACTGGAAAACGAACATCTGATTGCAGCGCAAACATCCTCCAGGGTTGGAACCATACGGTTTGGAAAAAATATAAAATCGATATAAACAAAAGAAACGCATATTGGCTTAAGTCATGATTGTTTTGGCATCACTAGTACCTGCTGTTTGTATATCATTCGTAAATTGTTGTAAGGTGTAGACAATCCACTTGTAAATGTAAGTGCTGCCATGTTAAGTGAAGCCTCTATGTCCTGATGTCCATCATGTTCTTGCAAGTACACCAAAATAAGCTCTTGCACAATCCAAACAAATAAAAAATGCGCATCGTATATACTTCCCCAAACAAATAAAAAAAATGCACAATCCAATACTTACCTCTTCATATCTGATTGTATGAAGGCTTACGAAGCCATGTCTGCAACAAGCAAGACGTGACTTACATCAACATGGCTTTAGTAGTGCTTGTTTCTCATACAAACTTTGATATTATTCGTTGTTCCTCATACAAAATTTTGAACATTGTGGAGATTCTTTCCGATGCTAATGCAACTGCCTTGTTTAATACTTGCATTTTCATCAGGTGTTTCTAGGGGCTTTGGATGGGAACGTTTAGGGACCAAAGTTAACTTTGGGCCCAAGTTCCTGATGATCTCCTTGTCCGAGGATGATCTTATTATGACTTAAAATTGCGAAACATGTTAAACCAACAAAACTTGTGAAAATATGTGAGTTAAAAAGTAAGAACAATAGCATATGTTGTCTTTTCTTTATTTTATTGAAAACAATTGACGGTCGAGTTGGGTTTAACGACCGGCAACAGGAGGCCCATGGGGCATGTTTAAGCCGACCTGCCCAGCCCATCGAGAGAAGGTGAAACCATTACGAGGCAAAATTATTAAGTGTGCGTGTGGTGTATGCTACAGAAGGAAAATAAAAACATATAGACCGTGTGAACCATGCAAATACTCATTGTCCGACTATTGTAGCTTGCTTAATTATTTTTTGAGGAATTTTACGGTTATTGAGAAGAAAGTATCTTTAAGTTATCTAAATTTTACACTAAAATTTTTTATATCTTTAGATACTCTATATGTACTAAATTTTATACTAGAAAATAATAATATCGCTATGTACCTCCTCAGAAATGGTAAAATTACCCTATTTTTTTCTTGTACTAGCTAGCTAGTCTTGCAGTAGCTACCACCAGGTGTATCTATGTTGCTGTCATACGATATTTTTTAAAATAAGAAGAAACATAAACAAATATGTGAAGTCATACGCTCTCAGCTGATGGCTCACTGGCAGTATAGAACTATAGACTGGCAATCGCGTACAACGTGAGGTCAGATTAAGCCCCTAAACTAAATACTAAGCACTTTAATATTCGCTCTGATACATCACACTAGTCTGTTAGGTTGCGCCGTACCGACTTCTTTTTTGGTCATGTCGACATTCCCGAGAGCAGCTAAACCTAATTAGGTAATTAAGAATGTGGAGAAGCACTACACAGTACGCGAAAAAAAAAAAGAGCTAACTGATCCATCAGCTGATCATTGTCGGCGATCTTAGTACTAGCTTCTGCAGCATATCGAATCACTTTCCTGGAATCTCCATCATTCCTGCCTCATAATAATTTAAGTTATTTCTCTTCATTTTCTTCTCAGAAACTATATATTTATTTGACTTATATTACATGAATCATGTAATCATAATTATTCTTGTAATTAATCATTTCCTACACAAATACTACCTGCGTTGCTGCAAAACGATAATTAGTTTGTACGACAAAAATGCTAAATGTCAGACTAGCAAATAAAAATCTTTTGACTTTTTCATGTTAATTTTTTGAAACATTGACGCTCAATTTCCTTAATACTTAGTTTCAGAATATAAAGATGGTAGATGAATATTTATGTTGAAAATAGCATTCATAATCTCATAAACTTAATAGAATTTATGAAAAAGTATGGTCAAAGTGCCAAAAAAAGATATTAATAGATTTTTCATGAAATGCACTTTTATATACTAGTTTAATATCTTTTATAAACATATAGTTAGTAAAAGTAATAATCAAATATATATATACGCATTAGAAATTGTGTCGATTGCCAAATTGACAAGTAAAAAAAGAATGATGCAGTAATTAGTAGGTGCCAAGAATATATTTTCATGGCAGATGAATTGTACTAAGATGTTGATAAATTTGATTGCAAGAAACGATGCTCACTAATCATGATTTCAAGAACGTTGCGCCTCAGCGTCCAGTACACCAACTTCAGAAAAGGTTAGTGATTTTGATGGAGAACAATCAACCAAACCACGAAGGTACTCATTCCTATGAGCAATCGAGAACTGGCAAGAAAAAAAAATAAAAAACAAAAAATGATAACTTAAGGGTACTCATTACTAAGATGTTCCAAAGACAAGTAACCAAGTGATGTAGCCAACTGCACACAATTACATGATGAAGTAACAATGCCTAAATTATGATCTAACAAAACACCAAATGAACTTAAGGGGGTGGCTTAGTATTTATACATGAAGTGATCTAGGACAGTGTGTATGACATGGCACGTCGCCCTACGACAAACCAGACCCATCTGCCCAAGTGGAGGTGATGCAACACCATTGGTTTTGGTTTCTAGGAACAAACCACTCTTACGATTCAGATTGGTTGGATCCGTCGGAAAGAGAATTCCGAGATCTTTCTATCAAATCCCCACATGGATTTTTAGATCAACGGGTATGCTCGTTTGAATTTGGGGTGGTGCAGCAAACTGAACCGAAATATTCTATCTTGCATCCTCGTTGAGCTTTTGTTCATCTCTACCGTCATTCCTAATCACAATAACATCACCACTAGCATTTAGTAGTACTACCCAATTCAGTAAATCATTCTTATGCAACCCTACATGGTAATTAAGTTGACGGACACGAGCTCGAGCGATTGATCCTTAATCACTGGTTCAGCTTGTGTGCTTGCCGTTGGCGTGATTATATCCATGCATGGTGCGGATGTCCTCATCATACTAAGTCATGGTGTAGTGGGTTCATGCCTTCAAAACTGTTAAAGATTAGTTACCGTGGTATTGTTAGAGATTTGGATGTTTATGTCAAATTCAATTGTTTTTCTCGAACAAACAGGAGAGCTGCATATCGTTATATTAAGAAGAATAAAGGAGATGGTAAGAACCCTTACAACACACACAATAGACCTTCACGATACCAAAAGACAACCTCAACCTACTACAAGCAAACACTATTCAGTGTTCGGCACAAGGGCAAGAATGCCCTTAGCCCTTGCCAAACCCCATTTATACAACTCTTCTCTAGCAAGTAGCAATGCTTCAGCCATGTTGGGAGAAGTACCGTCGAAGACAGAACAATTACGATGTTTCCATAACGTCAAAGCTCCCAAGACAACAATAGAATTAAGCACTATTATAAATCCTTCTATCTGTGACGGCCTCTAATATGCCTAGAAATAGCGGGCCGTCACAAGAAAGTCATCTCAATCGGGCCGAAAAGTGCCCGATTGAGATATGGTCGCACAGACATGTTAGATGGGCATAAAACTTAAGCCCGTCACGGATGACACCTATCAGTGACGGGCCGTAGTTTAGGCCCAATTGAGATAACATTCCATATCTCAAACGGGCCTAACGTTATGGCCCGTCACATATGACCATCATCTGTGGCGGGCACCAACTTTAGGCCCGATTGAGATAACATTCCATATCTCAAACGGGCCTCAAGTTGGGGCCCGTCACAGATGACCATCATCCGTGACGTGCACCAACTTGAGGCCCGTTTGAGATAACAACTAGGCTCATCACAGATGACTCATCATTGACGGGCTATATACTAATTCCCGATTGAGATGACTTAATCTCTATCGGGCATTAACTAAAGCCCGTCACCGATGAGTTTTTTTTTTTCATTTTTCGTATGAAATGTTTATATTTGTAAGTTGAACTATAGCAAAATAATTAAGTGCAGTATAATAATTCATTTTATGACTCAAAATAACTTCAGGGTAGTAAATGATTTCAAATGGAAAAAATGTCAACAACAAAGTTGTATAACTTATCAAAATTTACAACTTTTAGTTTGGTCATTTTTCTATATAACATTTTTTTGAACAGTTTCATGAGCCGATACTGATGTGCTCCACCATGCTAAAACTGATGCGCTTGCCCCCCGAGCCAATATTGTTGTTCCTCCATTAAATTCTCCACCGTGACCATGATCTTGGCATTGACTTCTTCTTCATACATGTGGATATAAAATTCGTGGTCCCACCAAGCGTGCCAATTTGTGTTGACGAAAAATTCGAACACACCGGCCTGGGAGATCTGCTTAGCTCCTGTGCAGGTCCAAATCTTGATGAGATGCGAGTGTGCCAGTCAGTTTGATCCTGCAACTGACAAGATATGCAAATAGTAGATCAAAACAGTCGATCGGCTGACAAGCCGATGGAGTAGTTCCAGCCGATAGTCGATAATAACCGATGCCGATACCAGCCGATAGCGATAGGGTTTAAGCAATCGGCTATATGTCCAATGTAGATAATAATATAAAGGCAATCGGCTGATGATGATGTAATAACAATATAGTCGAGTAGAAACCAATCGGCAAATAATGATATGATAAATAAGCATCGATCCGAAGGTTAAAGCACACATCGGCTGGAGGTCCGATGTCATGAAATCCACAAGATTAGATTAAACAGTGAAACCTTTGTTGTCATCGACTAAATCCAATTTATATGTATATGCAATCCTTATGAGCCGATGCAACGTCCAGATAACTCACCGGCTGAAACCCCGATGAAACCCTTATTGGCAATCAAGAAGCAGGCTAGAGATTACGGTTCTAAGCACGACTTAGTAGACCAAACTTAATTGATGCAGCACTAAGTATGAAAAGAAACATAATATCTAGACAATCAAGCCGTTGACTGAGTTTTCAGGGTGGTAGATGTCTAAGCTAATCTAATCTAGCAACGAGATTTAGCCGATACCGGCAGAAACCCTAAAACGAGAAGCAGCCGATAGAGCTAAATTGATATGCTAAGACTAGATTAACAGAGACATTTGATAAATTGGTAGGCAAATATATCATCCAAACCAGAGCAATCCAAGAGGTCGAATGTACTGATGCAGCCTTGAACGACACCGACGTAAACGATACAATTGCCTGGGCCGACGGAACATTGGACTTACCCCTTAGCCGGAGATCGAACACCAATGCAGCCCC